CAAATGTAATTATTTTCATATCGCCTACACAATCGTAATTAGAAATTCGAAATCATGACAAGACTAGAGATTCACACTCATAATCATAAGCCATAAATACAAGCTTTAAATCATAAGCAAAAGTCATTTTTTTCCATAAACATTAATCTGCAAAAATGTAACACAAAGTCGGAAGGAAAATCAAAATATGGTTGGGCTTATAATTTAGATTTCCACGAAATCCAAAATGGACCCGGTGAGATGGCCCATCTACACAACTCACGTTATGGAATTAAAAAAACCCTAAAATTTTCGTGTATCATCTCTTTCGTCACTCTCTTGGTTTCAGTCTCTTCTTCTTCTCTCTCGGGATAACTGAGTAGCTGTGAAAAAGCTGAAAATGGTAATCTCTTGCTCCGAATTCGATCTGTTGCTTTAGTAATTGTTCATTCGTCAATCCATTGTCTGTTCTCTATATTTTTTTCTTCTTAGATTGTCTAGTAAAACTGTGAAAGTTTCTGCAGACAGAAATTGAATCACTCTCCATCTATTTAGCTATATTTTTCGAAATTGCTGCGTTAATGGAATTATTGTGCTTTAGCTCGTTTCTTTTAGATTTAAGCTAATAGCAGTGAATTATGTTATTAGTCTGCTCTTAAAAATTTTATACTTGTCACTGTGATTGGTTAGGAATCCGTAATTGAATCTGGCAATGCAGCCAATTTAGTTTTGTATAGACAATTTGATTGGCACTCCTTAAATAGACTGATGTACTAGCAATACGTGTGATATTATAATTCATCCATGCTACAGAAGCTTGTCCCTTTAGTCATCAAATCAATAAGAACTCGTAGTCACTGTCATACCAAAAAAAAACTCGTAGTCACTGGTTTATTTCATATCATCCTTCATGTCTCGTTTAACTTTATCCTGTGGTTAATCACCGTTTAAACTACTGTTTTATGCTAAAAGCTCTATCTCATTTGGTTGTAGGCCCCAAAGAAAGGAGTTAAATTGGCTACCAAGAAGAAGCCGGTATGTGATTTTGTATTTCTCTCTCTCTGAAGATAGCATTTTAAGTTTAGTTGTTTGTGTCTATGTACTTAAGCTTTTGAAAATTTATTGGTGTCAGGAGAAAGTGACAAACCCTCTCTTTGAGAGGCGTCCAAAGCAGTTTGGGATCGGAGGAGCATTGCCACCGAAAAAGGATCTCACTCGATACATCAAATGGCCAAAGTCGATCCGTCTGCAGAGGCAGAAGCGTATCTTGAAGCAGAGATTGAAGGTCCCACCAGCACTTAACCAGTTCACCAAGACCCTTGACAAGAACTTGGGTATTTCTCACTTCTCCTTTTCTTGCTCTGTTATCTATTTATCTATATATCACACTAGTGTGGATATTATCTGTTTTGATTGCCCTCTATCTACTTTTACTCAGTGTTTGTATATAATTGCAGCCACTTCTCTGTTCAAGATTCTCCTCAAGTATAGGCCTGAGGACAAAGCAGCCAAGAAGGAGCGTCTTATGAAGAAGGCCCAGTCTGAGGCTGAGGGAAAACCTGCTGAATCGAAGAAGCCAGTTGTTGTCAAGTACGGTCTTAACCATGTGACCTACCTCATTGAGCAGGTCTCGTCCCTTCACAACTAATTCAATTGTCACTCTCTAGGAACTGAAATAAGCTTACTGGATAACTCTTTACTGAAACCTGTCTGCTTTGTTTGATTTCAGAACAAGGCGCAATTGGTTGTGATTGCTCATGATGTGGACCCAATTGAGTTGGTCGTCTGGTTGCCTGCACTGTGCCGGAAAATGGAAGTTCCATACTGCATTGTCAAGGGGAAATCAAGATTAGGAGCGGTAATGATATATGATTGTTTACTCTTGAGGCCATTACTTATTATCTCTAGGAAGATGTAACTGAATCTGATGTCATCTCGGTTATTGCAGATTGTCCACCAGAAAACAGCGTCTTGCTTGTGTTTGACCACAGTGAAGAACGAGGACAAGATGGAATTCAGCAAAATCCTCGAGGTTCATCATTTCCAATTGCTATGCATATTTTAAGATTCTCTGCAATGAACTCAAACGTTTTTCCATTATTGGTGTAGGCAAACTTCAACGACAAATACGATGAGTACCGGAAGAAGTGGGGAGGTGGCATTATGGGGTCCAAATCTCAGGCTAAGACTAAAGCGAAGGAGAGAGTTCTCGCCAAGGAAGCTGCTCAGAGATTGAATTAGACACACTCTCAAGTGATGCTAATTTTATTTTATTTTGCACACATTAACACTTTCCAACCATCTCTCTTTTTATCATCTGTAACATGTTTGCTTGAATCGACCCCTGAGATTTACAATGTTACTTGTTGAGAAGAACTGAATCCATCTTGAGACCTTTCTTTATTAAGCTTTTATTTCAGATTATGTCTGTTATTGAGAGTGACATGACTTATTGTACGTAACCAGCTTACCTGTGAAAAGACATCACTCCGTCATTGTCGGCTCTATTTTTTAACCTTATTCCCCTGAAAAGGTGAAATTAAACGTGTAAAAGGAACACGTGAAATAAAGTAAAAAACCCTTACCTTCCGCTTCCGATATTGCCTTTCTATATTGGCGCCGCTTCGTCACGAGAGTGAAAAACCTCGCTCCTTAACTGTTTGTTTAATCCTTTTTTTTTTTCCTTAAAAACAATTTTCTTCTTCCTCTTTAGTTCGTCACTTCAATTCGTTCATCGTCCCTCTCCTTTTTATATTTATGGATAACAACGAAGTGAAGGAAGAGATTTTTGAAACTTCTACTCCTCTGCCTTACTTTCCCCGAGAAGACACTGTCACTGTAATCGATCTCTGCAGCAGCGATGATTCCGACGTTGAGGAAAACGCCGATCGATTCGAGGATTCAGGGAGCGCCTACCCGAACTATAATTCTGGAAATCCCACCGGAGCGAAGAGAGCAAGAGATTCTGCGTTTGGAGGTTCATCGGAAGTGGACACGAATCATGCGAAGAAGCTAAATGTGGATGAGCTAGCAGTCGTATTGCCCGAAGGATCCGGCCAATCGATTCCGCCGGCTGATGGGACCCACGCTATTCCGGCGGATCCATGCAATGTCTTCAGACCTACTCCGCCGCAGCCTCCGCCGTCCAGTAGGACTGGCAGTTGTAAGCAGTTCTGGAAAGCTGGAGACTATGAAGGAGTATCTGATGGCAATTGGGATATTACTTCAGGTAAAACCCCAAAGCGGAAATTATTGAATTTGGCAATCCAAAATTTCTTATTGCTAATTTTGGCTCTTTGACATGGAAATAAAGTTTCGAAAGTTGATTACAAAACAACAATTTGTGTTCAATTGTTTTGACATAGATTGATGATACCTATTGGCTATTTTACTGTATATTTGTGTCTCAAGGTGGCCTTGATCACGTAAGAGTCCATCCAAAGTTCTTGCATTCTAACGCAACCAGTCACAAATGGGCTCTTGGAGGTACTTTCTTCTTTATTTACATTTACAACAGAATTGCCTCTTCTTTCATTAGCTAATCTGCTTTTATATCTTCTCTTGTGTAGCTTTTGCAGAGCTTTTCGATAATGCTTTTGATGAGGTGGGTGTAGTTTCTTAACGTGATATAATAAAGTAATACACAGACTAAAGTGGATTTAGCGTATACTTTGTGGTAATTGTTTCATTCTCATTGATATCAGGTTGCCAGTGGAGCTACTTATGTTAACGTAGACATGCTCGAAAACAAGAAAGCAGGAAACAGGATGTTACTAATTGAAGGTATACAATTTATTTGGCCTGTCCCATAGTATCTTTAGTCTATACTTATGTAGGAGCATCCTTGTATTTGATAATGCAGATAATGGTGGTGGGATGGGTCCTGATAAAATGCGGCAGTGCATGTCTCTCGGATACTCTGCAAAAAGCAAGCTTGCAAACACCATTGGGCAATGTAATTATTCTTTGTCCACCCGATTGATATTTATATCACAACGTTTGTAGGAAGAGGCCTAATTCATTTTCCCTGCTTATAGATGGCAATGGATTTAAGACTAGTACAATGAGACTTGGAGCTGATGTCATTGTATTCTCGCGTTGCCCTGGGAAAGATGGAAAGAGGTTCGTTCGTTTATTTACCAATCCTGGAAGTTTGCTTTTGATCATGTTTTTGATTATTCTGGTTGGATTGTATATTCACCACCGAAGATTGTGACCAATAGCTAAAGTTATAATCTTCTGTTACTTGATGTTGTTTTTAGCTCTACGCAGAGTATCGGGCTCCTATCATATACATTTCTGAGGAGCACAGGAAAGGAGGACATTGTTGTACCCATGGTAATCCTCTTCTTTGTTTCACTGTGTGGCATTGCTAAGAACAACAACTCGATTGTCTCACACTTGGTTTCTCTATTCGAATTACTATACTGAAATTTTTAATTCCATTTAATCGTTTGGCTCACAACGTGATTCTTCCTATCTTTCTGTTAGACTGTGATTCAGTAGCACGGACTAGTTAGATTACCGAGACATTATTTTAATTTTTAAGGCTATCTTTGTTTTGTCTTAGAGGGAGTGTTAGGCACTAATGTGGCTTATGTACTCCGTTTTTTTTAAATGAATGGATATTTACAAAGAAAGCTAGCAAATTCTTACTAGATCAGTTTATATTGTAACTATGATTTGTTCCTTGAGTATATTGTGCCATAGCGGTTACGCATATAGAAACTCATGGTTGTTTCCTTCTCTCTCAGTACCTCGGCTTGCATCTCAATGTGTAATTTTTTCATCATTGCTGGTTCATCAATGTGACATAGCTTCGTTTTTTAACTGTCCACCCATCTCTGCTGCCATATAAGATGTGTTATGTCTGCAGAATGTATTTTTTTATGTTTTGGTGAAAACTGTATACATTTATTTTTCTAATTCATGTGATATTATTTAAATAACCAGCTTGACTACGAAAGAAGAGACTCTGAATGGAGTAAATTAGGCAGGTCTTCCCTTAGTGATTGGGATAAAAATGTGAAAACAATAGTTCAATGGTCGCCATTCTCTAGCGAAGAAGATCTTCTTCGTCAGGTAAATAATATCTTCTCTTTGTTCAAAGCAGTTGCGTAGTCACTTATTCATAGTCTGTAACTTTCCAAGGAAGCTTTTATTACCAGGGAAAGGCAAAAAGAAGAGTCAATTATAATGATTATTATAGTGTATTTTGAGCTATTTGAACCTGGATCTGTTATCTATCACTGATTTGATGTGGTTTTCATATTTACTACCCCTTTACTGTTTCTATTTAAAAATGTTTTTACTAATGTGTTGCTTCATTTGTTGTAGTTTGATCTAATAAACGATCGTGGCACACGGATAATCATATATAACCTGTGGGAGGATGACCAAGGGATGTTGGAACTTGATTTTGACTCTGATCCGCATGTACGTATCTTTATTGCTGAGTGTATGTGGATTATTGTCTGAGATGATGCTGACCTCTTTATGTATAACATATTGTTTCTCTGCAGGATATCCAACTTAGAGGCGTGAATCGGGATGAGAAAAGCATCAAAATGGCTTCTCAATTTCCTAATTCTAGGCACTTCCTAACGTACAAACACTCACTAAGGGTATAAACATTTACTTTCCCATTATATTTCATCTTTTGTCGCAGTCAAAAGCAAGTAAGACGTTTTGTTGAGCTAAATTATCACTTGTCAGTCTCAAGCTAGTTACGACTAAAACCTATTATGAAATTTTCCTGTGGGGAAATCAAAAGCTTGGATAAGAATGATTGTGAATCTTGTTTAAATTGAGTAATTGACATCTTCATTTCTCACATCTTTCTTTACATATTCTCAGAGTTATGTATCAATTCTCTACCTAAGAATTCCACCTGGGTTTCGTATCATACTGCGAGGAACAGATGTTGAGCACCACAACGTAGTGAATGACATGATGCAGACTGAGCAGATCACATATCGACCTCAGTATGGTGTCGACACATATTCGAAGGATTCAGATGTATGTTTCAACAACTTAACTTGCATCAGCTTTCTTATAATTCTATTTTTGAAGCCAGGATCTTCTACTTGCAATTTAAGGCTGGTTACTTTTTTTTAAATCAGATGTCTGCCGTTGTTGTTATCGGATTTGTGAAGGACGCAAAACATCATGTTGATGTTCAAGGCTTTAATGTCTACCACAAAAATCGACTCATCAAGGTTTCCTTATGCTTTAATGGCGTTTTTTGCTTGCCAACACTCCATACTAGGCCTTTAATATTCGAAAAAACGTTGAAATTCATATTCACATGACTATTTATCTTGTTTTATCAGCCATTTTGGAGGATATGGAACGCAGCAGGTAGTGATGGTCGTGGGGTCATAGGTATTTTTAATCTGGAAGTTGTAATATTTGATTCATTTACTTAACGTGAAGATAATAATGCCAGTTTCTTTTTGCTAACAGGTGTTCTTGAAGCTAATTTTGTGGAGCCTGCTCATGATAAGCAAGGGTTTGAGCGTACAACAGTTCTCTCTAGACTCGAATCACGGCTAGTTCAAATGCAGAAGCTTTATTGGTCTGTTTCTCTTCTCATGTTTCAAAACCCACGCTTTCTTAAGCTTGACTTGGATGTTTCAGGGCTCATGTTGTTTCCACTCGTTTTTGATCAGGACCACCAACTGTCACAAAATTGGCTATGCACCCAGGCGATACAAGCCTGGAAGTGGAAGCGGTTATGGTTACAAAGGTACACTGTCTTTACTGGTTTCTAACGTCATGCCAAGTTTTTCGTTGAGATTTTAACTTGTTAGAAACAATCATCTGAAAAATGTTTTATCTTGCTGTAGAATCATCACCAGACCCTGACGGATCTGATCCATCAGGGATGAAAACTCGAGCTTCTGACAAGTACTATTCAAGCTCATATCCGAATTATAACGGGAGCAATGCAGGATCAGGGAAAGATGGTTCACTGGTAATTACTCTCACTAAAATCTCAAAACCATAAAAGGAGGAAAATCCTGAAAGATCTTTCCATTTTAACATATCTCTCATTTTATTTCTCAGTCATTGCAAGAGGAGCTGCGACGTGAGAAAGAGCGTAGCAAGGCACTCGAAGCTGAGGTATGGTTCCTATTTTCTGTCAGTTTAGCTTTTCTCTACCGTTTGCTTGCAAAAATAACCTGATGGATTCCTCCATCGTCTGAATTAGGTTATTTCAGCAAGGGAACTAATAGAAGAGATGACCAAAGAGAAAAATAATCTAATTGAGCTATTCGCAGAGGAAAGAGACAGACGTGATGGAGAGGAAGAATGTCTGAGAAATAAGCTAGAGGTTCCTCATTCAATAAACAAATCTTTCTCCATTTAACTCGTTTGATTATTATCATTTGCATGCTCACCTTAAACAACGCTGAACATTTCGTTGCAGGAGGCGTCCAACACCATCGATGAGCTGTTGAATAAGATTAAAACGCTGGAGGGATCTAAAGGCCCGAGCTGGAGACGTTAAACAAGCTTGCATATATCTAGACTCTAGAGGTTAAGTTAAGAAAAAAAAAGGTATTTAAGGTCATATAACCCATTTGATTCATATGGGTTCTCTAGCATCTCTATTTGATTTGTGACTCCACCTGATTTAGTCACTTTCTTGCATCGGGTTGGATCCATGTTGTAGATTAGTGTAATTGGTGGAAAATTTAGTAACGTTACTAAATGTGTTTGGCCATTGACTTGGTTATATGTACTATTATTACAAACTTACCATTCTTTAGCCTTTAGCTGTTGCCATTTCTGTAAAACTAACGATATGTCATGTCAAAACCAATAAGATTCAAGTAATAATTTGGGCTGACTTGGTTCTTGGAGACTTGGAGTATATATTTGCCATACCATTACTATGTATAACAATTTATGTTTGTTTGATTTGATCCCAGGAGCTTTCAAAGCTACTATTTTTTGTTTAGTTTCTTTTTTTCAAGATGAAAAAAAGAGAAGCGCGTGTGCTTTTAATAAGGTCAAATAAAGAAGTAGGAATCATTCAACAACAAAAATGACAATGAAAATATAAATGTAGAGAAAGGTGTGGGAAGGTTAAGAAGCAGACAAAAGCTCTGCAAAACTCTGTTATATCGATGACATACAGACATTGTGTTGTCTGTCAAAAGCAAGAAAAATGCCTTCTTTGTAGTCTATTTATTGCATTCCCAAACAAAACATACGAAATTGCAAACAATAACAAAATACAGGATTTATTTTAAATACTCAAACTCATATTCTTTTGAAATTTGAAATATGCGATTCCTTTATATATATATATATATATGTATTATAAAAGCTGAAACAAAAGAGTCAACCTGTCATTTTGCAACCTCACCGCCACACCTATTTTCATTTTCTCGGCAAACTCTTGTCTGGTGGTTTTGGCTTTTGTTTGGCCTTACTTTCGTTTATAGAATCGAATTTCAATGTTTTCTTTTTCCTGTCTTCAGTCTTCAAGATCAAAATTAAGTCGGTTTTTCTTATAAATTCTTCATTCAAACTAAATTGGAAGAGAGAGTGTAAAAGAGGAGAATATAGGTACAAAAACATCCTCATCGCCATCATAAATGGCCATTAAAGGCGCGTGTAAAAGAGGCTCGTGTGCTTCTGATACTCCCACGTGAGGATGTGACAATTTAATACATTCAAATAATAATTGCCCAATCTTCTTTAACAGATTAAGTAATCCAAGCCAATCATTCCTTCACACCCGCCACGAGGGTCGATCCAAAACTTTAGATTTGCTAGCTTATTACATTCTTACCCTGATAATGTTTTATATTGTGATTTTCTTTGGCATTTTTACCAACTACTTCCAATTCAATAAACGTACCAACCCATTTTTGGTTTTGGTTTTGGTTTTGGACTTTGGACAGGAGTGGGATTCTCACTAACCAATTCCTAAAGTTTATAACGGTTTTTTATTACTTCAGTTAAATGTTCAAACTTCAAAGGATTGCTAGCAATACATGTGGGGATTCACATATATTTTACCAAATAAAATATTGATGATGAAGTAATTACTAGTTCCAAATTCTAACCCCATGATATCTTGAAATATCATAAAATTAGAGTTTGACCCGGCCCAGCACGGGGAGATGGTTTCTGAATTTGTATTTTTTAATTAAAAATGTATATTTAACTATTTCAAAATTTTATGTGACAGATTTTTTTACCTTGTTAAGGTTTTTATCTTCGTTTATAATGTGGAAATTAAACATTTTAAAAATTATAAACAAATTAAAACATTGATCATAGATTAAATATGCTAGACTATAGATTAAATATGCTAGACTTCAGCAAAATACATAAAACTCAAATGAGTGTATTTTATAAGATAAGAAGTTTTAGGTGTTTACACGGATTAGAACTAACTTTTTTTATTTCTTTTAAAACTAAAACATGTTTTATTATAATTCCAAAACAATCCAACCAATAAAAGATCAATCTTGCAAAATCCAAATTGTCAAAATAACAAAAGTATAAGTAATTTTGTACTGAAAATTGAAACAAATGGAGCAATATTCAAATTTTTGATCAAAATTAAATACATTTATAAAAAATATTATTTTATTTGATTTCATTATACAGTTTAACTAAAAAATCATATAAAATATTTTAAAAAAAATTACATTTAGATACCTACTCTCCTACTTACATGGTTGCATATCATCTATTTTTTATAATATATTTTTACACCTACACACAACAACATATTGGGAATTTTAATAGTTTTAGTGATTATTTTGTTTTTAAAATTCAAATCATAGCATATATAGAAAAAGTTTTAGATTTTATTTATTAGATTTTTTGTATTGTGTCAATTTTTTATTTTATAAAATAAAGTTAAACAAAGATGAAAGGAGATATAGAATGATTTAAAAAAAATATAATGATAGCATTAAATTGAATCTCATATTTTCCTTATTTACTAATTTTCGTAATTGCCAATTAAGGAAAGAGAATGATGATTCTTTTATTAATAATTTCATATATGATTAATCTAACTATACATATTTGATTCTCTAACCAAAAATATGAATGACAATGTTTGTAATTAGTCTAGTAAACTAATCCTTATTTTATAAATAACATGAGAAGCTCCTAATGATGACACATCAGCATGCATTCTTGTTAATAACACATCAACTAAAGGTTATTTTTAAAGTGTTTTCTCTTTTAATATATTAGGGATAATGAAGAAAATACAAGAGTTGTATCAGTTTAGCTACGCAAAAGTGGAAAAATGCTTAAATCATTTTATTTTTGAGAAGCTAATTAATTTTTGTAATATTTAGTTCCTCGTTAGATACAAACGAAATATTAATTTTTAGTAGACTTTTTAACAAATCTAAAATCTTAACAATGCCATAAGAAAAGGAGAAAAAAAGTCACAGTCTTCTGTTGGACTATAAATACGTCTCTCTGTGGTGTGTTTATACACAGAGGATAACTCTCTCTCACATTCTCTCTTTATCCCTTCGTCTTCTACCTCGCGACACCACTAGTAGGAGAAGTCGACGAAGAGAGAAAAGGTGAGAAACTCTCTGCAAAACTGTACGGGCTTAATATTATACACAATACTCGATTTCTCATTTATCATAAGGTGCTTTTTGTTTCTGGATTTTTTTCTCTTTCCTATTATCCAATCCATGCTCTGCGCTACGCTCCAGCTTTCTGTTTGTTTTCCGTCAGAAATTTTCCAGGAAAGTCGATCGAGTTTTCCTTTTTTTTATTCCCATTTTCGTCGCTTATGATGTGATTTATCAGTCGCTGAATCGCTTAGTCTCCTTGATTTGGTTTGTGCATATTCAATTTCTTCTGCAACTTTCTGTTTTACCTGTTTCTGCAAATGAAGTTTTCCAGAAACTGCATCTCTCCGTCGTTTTCTCCGATTTTAGGTTTAAGCTTATCTCTCTATTTCTCTCCCCACTCTCGCTCTCTAGTCTATACATTCGCAACAGCTTTTGATTTTGGTCAAGGATTTTCAGATTTCGCAACAGCCGTAGGTTCTTCGAGCCGCGTAAATCTCGATTTTCGTCTATTTAACTGTTCATTGATATGATGGATCAACAATACTAGTCGTGTGATTTGATACTGAAAAAGTTTTCTTCGTCCTCTTTCCTCTGATTTTCTCCAGATTTTCCGGTGTAAGTCACATCGACGCTACGGTGCATAGACCCAGAGACGACTAGTCAGCTTCATAATCAAAGCTTAGATTTCCGACGTCTGTGCTCATGAGCCGGCGGCGAATTTTGTTATCGGCGGTTTTTCTCTCATACTTGCTTCACGGAATGGCTTTCGTCTCCGTCGGTAATTTTTTTTTTCTCAAATCAAATGTTGATTCTCTTGTTTCTTAACACCTGAGTATTAACAAACGAAATCTCATGGTTGAATCAGGAGGCGTGGAGGTTGTTAGTGAGAATCTGGATTTGACTAAAACGACGACGTTATCGACCTCTTCGCATCGGAAAATGCTTCTTCTCTCTCCTGGTAAGGGGGATTTTAATTTTGGAGTTTACTTCATTACCCAAATCAGTGATTATTCTTCGTGTTGATTTTGCTTAATCGTGCTGGTTCCCAATTTCGTAAAGTCCTCGTGAATTGTGGTTTTTTTGTTGGCTTTTCTGGGCTCTCTGCAAATCACAAACACACCTTCCTGATGCGTTCGTCGTCCTTTTTTTGTTTTTCATAGCAGCGTCGTCAGTCTTTTGCACGTCTGTGTTTTCTTGCTCCCCTTTTGTTTCGTTGTTCGTTATACTTTTTTTTGGTGGACCCAAATTTAGAATTTTACCAAGGCAAAACAGCTTCATACTTCATCCAGCTGTCAATCAGTAATTTTTTTTTGATGCATTGAGTCAATTTTCAACATTATTGTCGTATTCGTCATTTCTTCGTACTCGTGTATATGTAACAATGAAAACTCAAATTCCTCTGTTTTTTGTTTTAAAGGAAAAAAGGCAGAAACGAGAGCAGAGCCGGATAGGATCGGAGAGAAGTGCAAGAGGTCGGATATAGTGGTGAACCAGGCAGCAACCGAGCCGATGCCGAACGGAATACCGGGTTACACGGTGGAGATAACGAACCAGTGTATGTCTGGATGCAATATCTCTAGAATCCACGTCAGCTGCGGTTGGTTTAGCTCGGCTAAGTTGATAAACCCGAGAGTCTTCAAGCGTATTCACTACGATGACTGTCTCGTCAACAACGGCAAGCCTTTGCCTTATGGCTCCACACTCTCTTTCCATTACGCCAACACTTTCCCTTACCCTCTCTCTGTCTCCTTCGTCACCTGTTCGTAAAGGTTGCATTTTTTTTTGTTCCTTTAGCTTTTATAGGATAAGATAGTAGAAACAGGGAGGGTATTTAAGATACGGAAATATCAAATATGAGATTAATCATGTTCATACCATACTCTCTAGTCATCCTCTTTTTGGGTTTATTTTGGTCTCCCGGGATGTGAAATGTTTT